TCATCCCCCAGGAGGTATCGTGTCCTGCTCCCTCCCTGGTCCATAGGACCACCCTTAACGGTAGCTTACAGCTTGGTCCGTTTATGCTCCTGTTTACAGGCTCACGATGACAGTAACTGGAAAGTGGCCAGGTCTGTAGAACATTTTTCGTGGAATTGAAAATCATATCTGTAGGATTGTAATAAATGCTTTAGATGATAACATAACTGCTGGAAATTATCTCAACTTACTGAGCAGAAGGAATCAACGTGTCTGGACCGTTGGTTGGGTTTTGTGTTTCTGTTGATAAAATAAATTTAGTTGTAAATCCTGATAACGGCAGTATAGAATATTACTTAAATTCTAATAAATGCTATTGTGTTCACATGCTATATAATTGCTTTTTTTGCGGTGGTTATGCAAACTTTTTAACACCTGGTAGCAGTGCGTATTCTCATAAGTTGAGATTTTCAACGTAAATTACAATAATGTTTGGTGGTAACATTTCTTTGACATGGAAGAATTTCATTAAAACTTGAGTTGCTTCGGTTGAACTATTGCCTCTTGGTCCTTTTTGGAATCAGGGTTAGCGATGTCTTGATTATTGAGTAAATAAAGACTCTCCTCGTTAATCCTTCATCTGTAATTTAAAAATATTCAGCTGACTCTTGGTAATACCAACAATGAGTAATCAGGATCTTATTCAGTAGAGGTGGCAAATAGGTGTGGGTTTACCCTGTTCTGACATTTTTAAGGAGATTACGCTCAAGGCTGACAGGTTGTTGTATGAAGCTGCGCATGTGTTGTTCCTTGTGCGTAATTGTTAACAATGTATTTATTTTCAGTCTTTTTATGTGCTTCTTATACGGCAATACACGTCTGAATCTAATTCAACCAACAGGATCGCAGTTCTTACGGTAATGGTTGTCTTTACATTGTGTGAGAAACGTAAACGGGTCTGTTCCAGGAAATTTACTGAAACTGTGAATCAAACAGGACAACAATTGCGCCCAATCATCACCCAATCTTTTAGACCACTCTGTTCTTAACGCTATTGTCAATGTGATTATTGTTCAGTTTATTTCTTTTTTTTTTTCCTGCCAGCACGCAAGTTGGCAGCTTTGTATTATAGTCTGTAGTAGCATCGGTTCCATATTGACAGTTCTCTTAGTGACATATTTTGTGCAACAAAGAAGCTACCGGTGGAATACTTTACCTTTTCAAATCTTTTCATCCACTCACTGATCCCATTCAGTTGGAATTGTGTTCACGCCCTAAACAAAATCTCATGACCGACTGCAACCGGCTATTAAAACATTCACTTCATTTGACAGTTACAACCAACCCAACCCCACCCCCCCTTTGTACTTTAAAGAGTGTGTTTGTGAAATCAAAGGTGTGCATAATGGCTTCAGTTAATGTTCCTATTGTTGTAAAAGATCTGGTTCCTCCTCCTCTATGTAGTTCTGCAATACACTGGGCAGATCGTGGGGCTGGGATGCTGCTTTAACTGCTGGGACGCGAGCTCCAATTAAGAAAAAAAGATAATTCTCCTCTCTAAACACACTCCCCCAAAGCATGATATAGCGCCCACTCCTCTTATCGATTTCTTTCCGCCTCACCCACGCTCAATACCAAGAGAAAAAGTGAACTTGCTGGAAAGTTAACATGAGTTTTTCCGTACACCATGATTAATGTGTTCATTCTGTGTTTGACGTTTAACAGCTTTTTGTTCCCTTGCTGCTATTCTAGAAATGTTTTCTTGATGTTATTGCCTTAGGATGTTCATTGAGCCAGACCGCACAATTCTAGACTTTTCACCCTACTAAGATGGATTATCCTTATAAGCAATTTAAGGTTCATAACAGGAAAAGTCTAAATGGCCTTGCAAAATGAACTCAGTGTCTCAGTCCAATTGGATAATCAGTGGAAATACAGATGCTTGATGTGGTTTGAAGTGTACTTATTTTGTCTTGTTCATCGTTATCTGCAAAACATGATCTCTGCTTGGTGCTTGATTCACTTGATCTCTTTTTTCTGTTCAGCCTATATTGTCCTGCACTTCTCGGCTCTGTTCTCTGCCCACAAGACATGTTCAGCACAGATAATTTAAAAAGTCGCTCAGGGTGTGTGTTTTCACTTACAACATACCACAACGCTTGGAACATGGCACACCTAGCAGCTGTTTAAAAGGGCAATGGTGGAATTACAGTATTGAGATCGCTTTGCGTTACGTATAAGCATCGAATCCCCACAATGTACAAAATACTCTAACAATTTAAAGCTGCATTCAAAATCCCACTTAGACAAAATTAGAAAACAATTATCTGCAAAATGTTATTAACGTATCAAAATGGAATAAAAAGTAAAATATTCCTCTCTGAAATATGATGGAATTGAAACATAAAGGGGAAATAGTAACCTCAATGTACCTTAAGCACTGTAGTTGAGTAAATGTACTTAGTTACTTTCCACCACTGTTAAAAGGCTGGGACGGCAGGGGAGGTGTTCTTGTCATTGCTGCTGCACTGACACTTACTGGTTGTTTTGGGTGTTTGCACTGTGGGGTTGACAACACAACCCTCCCACTCTTTACAAAAAATAAAAACATTATGCATGTGCAAAGGTTTAGGTATAACTGCATCTGATACTTATGTTAAGCTTGTGTTTTAATATTCATAATTACTATAACCATTTGTACTGTATCAATCAGCATTACTAATAAAATAAAAGCAAATAATCAGTTGTTTCTTGTGCATATATGTTGGCACACATAATACACACACACACACACACACACACACACACACACACACACACACTGACGGCAAAGCCCATCACAAACAGAGACTAATATTCATACACCAATGCACAGCATCAGGAGCAATCTGGAGTTCAGTGTCTTGCTCAAGGACACTTAGACATGCAGTGAGAGGAGCTGGGGATCAAACCTCCAATCTTCCGATTAGTGGACGACCCGCTCTTTCTCTGAGCCACAGCCTAATTAACGACCCTAGTATATACACTGTATGCTGAGTTATTGAAAACCTGATTTTGTGTGCCCCACCACACTACTTTTCTCTTGCCCAGGGGCCTGGATCCTAACAGGGGGCCTGAGGGAGGGTGTGTCCCGCTGTGTGGGCGAGGCGGTGAGGGACCATGGGGCCGCGGCTCCAGCTCTCTCCCAGAAGAAAGTGATTGCTGTGGGACTGGCACCATGGGGCCTGGTGCACAACAGGCAGCAGCTTGTCCAGGCCCAGGTACTCATTATACAGTAGGCTTGTTATAGTCAACTATACAGCCTTGACCCTTTGCTTGTCAGAAGGCTCCCTCTGGTTGGCATCCTGATACTAGATAACACAAATAGATAATTGCAAAACAAGTTGTTTTTCCTCAATTTGTCAAATAGGTCAATACATTTTACACTACAATTTTCCTTCATTCATGCATATACAACTGCTTGCTTACTTACTATCAATAACCAGTAATTAGGAGGTTGTTGAGGGAAAACCCTTGGCCTAGTAGTTGTAGAATATGCTCATGAAAAATAAGGCATTTGTATGGACTTTATAATGACTAATAAAGAGCCAATATGCTGCTAATATAAACAACTAGTTAATAGTGAGTATGTGTACATTAAAGCTGCGATTTATCAAAATATTTTTATAAAAAACATTTGTCATATTTGCTGAAACGATCACTATATCCTGACAGTAATGCATGAGACAGATAATCTGTGAAAAAATCAGGTTCTTCTTCTTCCTCCTAGTGCTTCTAATGGCATTTGTAAGAATGCACCGGGCCTGAACAAAAACAACCAATCAGAGCTGAGAAGACAGTTGATTGTTAAGTCTCATTCGCAGGTCGTCGAATACCAATGCTGGAAATGAGACTCAACAATCAACTATCTTCAAGCCAACAACCAGAAGGATGTTTCAGAGATTATCTGTCTTATGTACTACTGTCCATATATAAAGTTTCAACAAATATGACAGAAAGTTGTTTTTATAAAAGTTACCTAATACAGCTTTAACATAAAGAGTAACCGAAACTTTAAAATACTTGAAAGCGTTAGTAGACATTTTCACTTGTTCAAGAAAATAAAGCTTCAGTGACTCCACCAGCCAACCAACTTGAACATTTTTGCAGTGGCAATATGTCAGTGAGAGCACAGAGAGAACATAGTGAACAGAAGAGGAGAGTATGGAGCATCATGTCTGTGCGCCATCACTGCAACACCCTGTCTTCTTCCAAGAGAGTACTTCAAAAAACCCAGTAAAAATACAAAAGGTTCCGAGTATTGTACATTAGTAGTAGTAGTGTTAATGAGATGTAGAACTGTGGTTCCCAACCTTTTTCCTTTTCATCATTGAATAAACTGACTCAGTAACATATTTTATGGATATTTTGTTATATATATACAGTAACAGTAACAGTACAGAAGAACTGATATGTTCAACTGTGCAATAAACCAAAATAGTGAACACTGTAACTGCAGGAAGTTTGTGTAAAATGAGAGATTTGGATGAATTTTGAGCAGATTATTTCCCATATTGCAGTTTTCCTGAATTCTTTGGAATTTTATACAATTCTCTGTCTTCTCTGTCCATCTGTATTGTGTTTTTCTAACAATCATACATACTTAATAGATTTCTTTTTTGATAAATTCAATGTATTCTTCTCCCTGACCCCTTAAAATCAAGAAGAGTTTGTGACGCCCCTTGAAGCCTTAGTGACCCCTATGGGAGGTCTAAACCCCCAGGTTGGGAACCACTGGTGTAGACTATGAGTTGTTGTAAATGAAAACAAAGCATGGTGATGATTGCTGGTGTTACACTGTGCTTGCTTTGTGTAAATGGATAATACTGTTGACCAGATGCTCTTAGATGAGCTCAGATCAGCAGAGGAGTAGCAGAGTAGATTCCACCCCTCCCTCACTCACATTCTCTCTGGTGTTGTCTGTTTCAAGGGAAGTTTCCCTGCTCGTTACTATGTCCAGAACACATCACGCGACTCCTGCTGCCTGGACAACAACTGCCAGGCTTTCCTCTTGGTGGATGATGGAAGTGTTGGCCGCCGGGGGGGAGAGACAAGCTTTCGTCTTAATCTAGAGGACTACATTTCCCACCAGCGTACTGGCATTTGGGGTGAGACAAAGACATACAGGCCAATTGACCCTTCCTAAGTCCCGTCCCACCACCTCACCTACCTCTATGTGCTAGGCTCCTCTATGTTGACAAAACCAAATTTTTAAGATGGTTAAAATATTAAAGAGACATACTGTGAAACTTAAATTAAAAGCAAGGCCCCAATTACAGGCAGGGCTGCTTTACTAGCCTGATGTGGCTGCATGTTCTGATAAATAAGGCCCACCAGGTCACCTGCTTGAGGGAGTTCTAAGCAGCTTAGATCACTACAGAAATAGAAACTTTTTATCAATATGGACATGCTGTACAGCGTTATATCAGTTAGATTCTCCACAATTCAGTCCTTAATTTCATTTTATAGAAATCATTGAGCATCCAAGTATCGAATAAATGATTGGTAATTGATATGTTATTCGACAGCATAATGTTTATATTAATACTGTTTAAATAAACAATTTGACAGTATTCCCTATCTTCTTCTGTGCAAAAGGAATTAAAGACCTGTCCCATATAGAGGCCTGTGCTAAATAAAGACAGGTTGAGTTCAGTGACTGAAGCAAATAAAAGCCTGGGCTATTAACTTATTTTGCTCTCTACATGAATCATTAGCTAGCCAGTTAGGTGGCTAGTTAGCTAGCATTTTGCTACATAGTAAAACACTAGCCAACTAGCTAGCTAAACTGCATTAATAGTTAGGTTGTCTTTTCAATACTATTTATTAGACAGTAGAATGCTCCATATATTACTCGGTTACAGCAATGCATTTAAAAGTTATGGTTTGGCTTTCAGATAATTTATATTCCACTGACATGTTCCACTGAGTGCACTTTATACTTAAAGATATATCTAAATCTATGTCATACATTGCAGCTCTCAATCAAAATCCAAGCTTCAAATTACTTCTCAAATAAATTGTTAGATATACTGGATGTGAGCAGCTGTGTGATGATAGAGCAGGGTGCTCCTGTTTCCAGCATTCCCTGGATAGATAAAGGCCAAAATAAAGGGATCCGGAATGCTGGGAGGTTTTATGGAAGCTGAAAGGTTTCAAATACCTACTATCACTTCAACTCATGATTACAATTATAGTGCACTTTTGGAGAGGTTGTGGGATATCAAGAGAAGGCACTTACTTTTTTTTCAATGTACAATGTTTCTGTAGTGAAACTGTCTTTTTTCTTCTGACTCCTTATTCTGGGCCAACAACAGGTAGTGGCAGTATTGAAATCCCAGTTCTATGCATGCTCATCTCAGGAGATGCCAGTATGCTGGAGGTAAGAAAACTGTCAAATACATTCTCACTCTACACACTCACACTATAATAGAGTTTTGGATTTTACTAGAATATGCCACAGGTAGTACAGATAAATAATTTGTTCTTCGGTCTAGGGAGTTTGATTACCAGCTAGGTAACAGGCCACAAGATAGGCTCAAAGGATGCAGGCCATACCTGTCCCACAGCAGCTGCTACACTGGACTGGGTTTTGTTGTACAAACTTGTGTTGTATAATGATAAATACATTTCCTTAATCCTTGGTCACCTGAAAATAAGAAACATGTTCAAAAGCCATGTTTATACTGCAGCCTAGAACGGACAAACCAAACACTGGGTCTTTATGTTTAGTAGTAGTTACAATTAATTATAAAATGTATACTTTCTTCTTGACCATGGATTTTTCCTCCCAGCATCACAAATGTTTTTCCAATACCTGTACAGTATGTTTGTGATTATAAAGGCAGGTGTGTTAGTTTGTTTCAACCTTGCTGCTCCCTGTACACTGCACTGATTAATAAAGCAGTGGCATATGATTTTTGTACTTTTAAGATCAATTACCCTAGGGGTCTCAAATTGACTTCGGGCCGCTATTGATATTGTCATCACATAGAGGGTCACTTCAACATTCAAGTACTACCAGAAAGCACAATATTCTGAAAATATTTCCATTACTAACATCATACTTGCAAACAGTTTGAGACCCCTGACTTACCCAGCTAAGTATCTGACTGTGTGACAGTTGTGTGTTTTGTTAGCCATGTGGATACGTTTCAGTTTACAGCTCTTATAAAAGAGAGATGTCCATCTCACTGAGACTTCTTGTGTACCTTCCCTGGCTCAGAGATTAGATGCCTCCCTGAGGAAAGCTACACCCTGGCTGGTTCTCGCTGGTTCTGGTCCAGCTGCAGACCTTATCAGTGAGCTGCTGGGCAATCTCTCCTCTGCTTCCCTCAGTCCCACCTCTCCTCCAGCAGAGGGCGAGGCTGCTGAGGGTCTTAGCCCAGAGCTCCGTGACAGGGTCCGTGAAAAGGTCCAGAAATACTTCCCAGCTGAGGCAGAGCTGGAGAGACTGGTGGATAGAGTGAGTCAGACAGAACATGTGTTGTGTGTTTCTTTGCATGTACAGTAGCAAAGTAAATGGCATTGCAGTCTATACACAACTATAGGCAGGTACAGGAAACAATAACCTACAAAATATTTATTTAGGATTTTTCTCCCCATTTCCTCCCAAGGGTTATAAGCTCAGTTTCCTTCATGTTGCAGTTCTTTTCACAGCTAACTATACCAAGGGCACAGATGTCATTGTAGCTTAGGGGGACCACATCAGTGTGTAAACTACTTACAGTATAACCCTTACGTACAGTTAAAATGACTTAATAAGCAGCTCAAAATAACAAACCACATGTATATTGATAATAATGAATAATTAAGTCTAATAATTAATCCTTTTACAGACACAGATCCCAGTATTATAAGGTTTTATTGGAGCAAATCATCTATGACTGAATGAATACTTGGGGAAACTTTGCAGATTTGGTTGCTTTCACATTACTGATGGACTCTTTCTATGAGTATGTATAAAATATAAACAGTGTGTGTAAAAGTTGAAACATAACCATACAGTAGTAAAGAGTGAGTTCTACAGCATATTATCTTAATTTACATGTATCACAGAGGTTTTGTGAGGCGAGTTAGAATCTGACATTCAGGTATACAGGTTCCTGGGCTGAGTGAGCAGTTTGGTTCAAACCACTGAACAGGGTATGTGGAGGGTACTTAAGTGTTTTGTTTATGTGTGAATTATTTCAAAATTGGAGTCAGCTTGGATTATTTATATATTTTCAATTACATAATTTATTCCTTACCTCTGTGTGTCCAGGCTCTGAGTATTTATCAGAACAGAGAGCTCATCACCATTTTCCATGGGGAACAGGAGGGTTCTGATGATTTTGATACAGTTCTTCTCAAAGCTCTCGTAAGGGGTAAGTAGGTAAATACGTTTATTTATATAGCACCTTTAAAGAGCAGAATGTCACAAAGTGCTTCACAAAAGAAAAATCAGGCAGCCAGACAAAGCAATACAGACTTAAGTAACAAAAAGACATATATAAAATATTTTTTTAAAAATATACAGAAATTATAGAATAAAAGAAAGAACATTTAAAATATCTAAACAAATCTTCCAGGAACCATGACTTACTGGTTGATTCCTGGAGCAAGGAACAACTGACAAACTTTGATTAGAGGACCTTAGAGACATATTGGTGACAAGGGGTTGCAGTAGACTGCTAATGTAGACTGCTCAGCTCAGTAGGAAGAGCAGCTGTGTCGTAATCAGAAGGTTGCTGGATCAATCACTAGCTCCTCCCAGAGAGCACAGTAAATTGAGTTAGTGGCTCAGTAATTTAGTAGATGGCTCAGTAATGGACTAACTGGCTAAGTGGTTGATTGAATGGTTCCATAATTGAGGAGGTGGCTTGCTGGACCAACCCCTGGCTCCACCCAGAGAGCGCAGTAATTTGATTAAATGTCTAAGTAAATGGCTGAATAAATGCTTCAATTATTGAGTGAATAGCTAAGTAATTGGTAGATAGGTAATTCAGTTGCTCAGTAATTTGCCAAGTAATTGAGTACATAGCTAAAAGGAAACTGATCAGTAATTAAGAAAATTATTTAACTATTTACAGATTGCTCAAAATAACAAAAAAATAGGAGGAGGAACAAAAAAAAACACATTTGGACAAAATTGAGGCCAAATGGGCATAGCTTATATGTGTATATCCATCTGGACCCACAGAGTCCAGAGAAACAAAGAATTTAGTTTTTTATTTAAAGTGTGTTTGTGTTTGTGTGTGTGTGTGTGTTCAGCCAGTAAACGTGTGTCCAGTGAAGCCAGTGAGTACACTGAAGAACTGAAACTGGCTGTTGCCTGGAACCGAGTGGACATCGCCAAAACTGAGCTCTTCAATGGAGACATACAGTGGAAGGTCAGAATCAAAGTGAATGACAAATGTGATAAATCATTCTTCTGTCAAACTATCCTCTATATAACTGGGTTCAACAAAGATTTGGGATATCACAGTGTACCAGGAGCAAGCTCAACGTCTAAAGCCTCATTAGTCTTTGGAGGCTACAGTGTTCATTACGCCCCACAATACAAAAATGGACAGAACAACCACCATATTTCAGTCGGATACAACGTTAGTTAAGTCAACAGTACCAAAGCCTGAGCACATTAGGAGGTTGGGTGCATGTATGGAGCTCCAGCAGCAGACACTGTTGAACATATCAGCAGAGTAGTAGTGAGAAGCGTCAGTTTATAATGGCCATGCTGTACACGCTGTGTAAAAATATGATTGGATGTTACTAGTCAGATGGCAGCCAAACAGCTGATGAATGAGCCAGTACCCTGCCTGAACTAATGTGATCTTTCACTGATGTCTTTGCTAGTCATAGAGCCTTACCAGTAATAAGTTAACGATATGGGGCTATGCTACTGATGAGGTGATTGTATTTTCAGTATGAGGACCTCGAAGACTCCATGACAGACGCACTAATCAACGACAAGCCCCAGTTTGTGCGTCTCTTCTGCGAGACTGGTCTAAATATCCTGGACTACCTGACATACCGCCGCTTGGAAAGCTTGTACCAGTCACTGTCCGACAGCTCGCTGGCCTACGTTCTGCTCCAGAGGCGACTGAGCGAGAGGCAGGGCCTGGCTGGATCCCTTTACAATGTGGATGGAGATGTGACAGTACCTCTGAAGAGTCCCCAGAGTCCACTAACTGGACCTGCCTCAACAATGGAGCTCAGCATGTATGAGGTGAGGAAGAGGAGGGGAGGGAAGGATGGGCAATGGGGTAGGAAGAAAGAATCTTTAATATAGGTTACTACCAAGCTATTAATGGTGTACAGTTTGTGTGCTTGTATTGATTTTAATTACTGTGTATTTTTTTTACATGTTAACAATGAATCCTCCATGCACACTAATGTTAGTTACAGAGTTCTAGAAGGTTCTGTACTTGGACCAATTCTAATAACTTTATAAATGCTTACTTTAGGCAACATTATTAGGAATCACTCCATATAACTTTAATTGTTTTGCAGATGATACCCAATTATACAGTATCTATTGATCAAGCCATTGAAATGAATCAATTCGCTAAATTACAAGCATGCCTTAAGGACATAAAAAACTGGATGACCTGGGATGTGGGCTCAGAGGTAGAGCGGGTCGCCCACTAATGGGAAGGTTGTTGGTTCGGCCAATATGCTTCCGATGCTGTGTCATTGGTGTGGGAATGTGTATGAATGAGTTAGTTTCTGTTCGATGGGTGTTTGCCATCACTGAGTGAATGTGTGTCAAAGGGTGAATGTGGCATGTAGTGTAAAAAGCGCTTTAGGGATTGGAAGACTAGAAAGGTGCTATACACGTACAGGTCCATTTACCATTTACCAATTTTCTGATGTTAAACTCAGACACAACTGAAGTGCTTGTACTTGGCAACAAACACCAACAACTTGCTTTGTGCTGCCTTATTTGAACAAACCTTCCACCTGTTTGCTCCTCTCCTCCTGCACAATGCATCAAATTACATATGTTTTGGTAGAATTTTGATGTTTTGTTTGATGGTGGTATTCAGTTGAGTTTAGATCTGGTGACTGTGAAGGCCATAGTATATTTAGTCATATTTATCACCCATCTGTATCTGCAGGTCTGAAATATGCAGTTGCATTATCTTCTGGACTAATGATCTTTTTAGAAATAAAGTCGCTAGCAACAAAGTCAGGCTGAGAACTATTTGCACCTGTCTTACTTTCACTTCATTTTCCTCAGTCCTCTGATTATGATAAACAGGGATATACATATACATGGGATTTAACTATTTTGAGATACAGAAACTGTAATTGCTTTTGGTTGGTCTGCTTCATATTTAGTATCCTTGCTCCGTATGCAGTAGTTGTGAAGTGTGTGGTGTTGCTATAGGTATCCCGCCTGCTGTGGGACCTGTTGGGTGATGTCTGTCAGCCTTTCTACTATGGACCTCTGGGCCTGGACCACAGGATCAGCACCAGGAGGGCTCTTAAGGTCAGTGAGCATATTCGATATGAAACATCAAAGTCTTTTTACACATCCTTGGGGAGTACTGCTGCATATGTGAGAACAGTTGTATGAAGCATTTTGAGGCTTTTGTAGTTTAAAAATAAAAACAATCTGGGGGTGCGGAGTAGGAAAGAAATGAGAAGTGAGCATGCCTACAACCTTCTCCTCATATCTGCGTGGGGCTAGAGGCTCCTGGCTACATTAAACACTACTAGCATAGCATACATTACACACCCAATGAGTATGATGTAGCACCAGGTTTTGATGGAAAATAATCAGGGCTGTCCTCAACCAAAGATGTTCTTAGTTGATCACTAGTTGTTAGTCGCACATTTATGATATTTATTTAAATATATATATTCTTGGGGCATAGTTCTGGGGATGAGAAAAAATGTTGTAAGTAACATAGTTAACTAGACATGGGACGATATGAAAAAAACAACAATGAAAATATTTTTAAAACTATTAATATAGCACTCAAATCACTAGACAGAGAACACATATGTATTGCATCACAGAAAGGAACCGCATCTCCCTGTTCTGTATTTTGGAATCTATACTATTTCCATACATACAGTTTAATTGTTTTGGGCACAACGGGCAAGCCGATCCTTCGCCCATGGTGACAGGGTTTGGATTTTGGAATGACTAGCAAGATGTGGGCTCCCCCTTGGTCCATTGTTCAAAATAAATTAGGAAATCAATAAATGACTGTATGCTGGAGAGCTAGACAGCTTTTTCAAGTCAAGCTATGTGAGGATACTCTTTTACTGTGTGTTACCTTCAGCAAGTCAATAAGATGCTGCTGGGGGAGTGTATGTACCGGGACCAGCGCTGTCTCTCACCCTGGGCCGCCCTCTTCATCTGGGCTGTCCTGCAGAACCGCAGTGAAATGGCTGTTTACTTCTGGGAGATGGTGAGAGTCACCTGTAGAAATTATTTATTTTTTGTTTTGTAAATTGACTTTGTTCAGGGCGGCAGTAGCTCAATGTGTAGGAACTTGGGTTGGGAACCGGAGGGTTGCTGGTTCAAGTTCCACAGACCACAGTATGGAGTGTGGACTGGTAGCTGGATAGTTGCCAGTTTTCACCTCCTGTGCTCTGTCAAGGTGCTCTTGAGCAAGGCACCTAACCCCTAACTATTACCTGGGTGCCTAGGCTGCCCACTGCTCCTAATTTACATAATAATGTATATAGGATGGGTCAAATGCAGAGGACAAGTTTCATTTCATGTATGTAAAAGTGCTGTAAATGGTGTATATATACTGTGAATATGACAATAAAAAGACTCCATGACACTGTTTGAACTTGACCAGTTTAAGGTGATGTAACAAACAGGCACCCTGTGTTTCTGTGTTTCCTTGTCAGGCAGGGGAATCAGTGCTGAGCGCTTTGGGTGGATGTAAGATTCTGAGGGAACTTTCTAAGCTCGAGAGTGAAACTGAGAACAAGCTGGCCATGAAGGAACTGGCACAGAAGTTTGAGAACTTGGCACATGGTAAGTCACCACTAGCAGCTCTGTTCTCCAGTAGCTTAGCCCAAATCTAGGGAGGTCCGGGAGCCCATGGGGAGGGTGTTTTTCCCATTCACAGTAACTATATTTCAAGCCAATTGAGATACTAAAAGCTGTCCATTTAGGAAAAGCATGATAGTTGCCCAGGTTCTTCAACTGTCTTCATCATTCTGAAATAATAATAACCCCCGCTCCAGCTCCACCCCTGCAATTCTCTACATGTGTGGAGCTACATGCTTATCTAATCAAGCATTTTACATCAGCCATAAGCAAAGTTGAAGAAAATCTCAACCAAATCATACACATGTGGAGCAAACCAAAGGCTTTACCCTCACTGTTCTTTCATTTAATTATAAAAAATATATATCAATTATTCTTTGTCTCCCTCATTTCCTGTCATGTCGTGTCTATATTAAAATGCCCCCAAAAATATGTAAAACCTGTTAAACAAACAATTTATAATTTCTGCCGCTAGGGGGTCTCTTGCATCAAAACAATAACAAAACATGAAGAAGATTGATGACATTGGGATCATGGGTGTTGTTGTCTTCACCACCATTGATATCATTGCAGTCAGCTTTTCCCAGTTAGGATTCCTTCAGTGTTCACCTGAATAAAGCAGTTCCACCTTAAAAATCAGTGTTTCTCTGACGCTGTTCGGGAGACAAAATATGTCACCCAGTTCAAATATGGAGTTAAAAACCACCAAGATCTAAAGAGTGGACGGTAAAAATGTGGCTTCAAACTGGATAAAAAGTGAATGACAGCTTCTTGCAGACAACCACAACGCTGACGCCATGCACAAAGGGGATTATGATGCATGTGACCAGCGATTATTAACTCGTAGTAGGATAAATGACAAATTCTTTGGCTGAAATGTGCTGAAACATTTGGGATGATGAAAGTACATAACTTAATTATACCTTATCTTAAGCAATTATGAAGAACAAAAATAAAAAAATGTGTGTGTGTTCTGTGTTGTTTGTGTTTTCAGATGTATTCGGTGAGTGTTACCAGAGCAGCGAAAATCGCTCCTTCACTCTCCTCATAAGGAAGTCTCCAGTGTGGGGTGGGGCTACATGCCTGCAGATGGCCACTGCAGCTGACGCCCGGCTGTCTTTCACCACGATGGTGTTCAGTAGAGATGGCTTTCTGTTCACCGTAGAATCCTGACTGGTAAAAATGCCACACTCAAGCCAGACCTTAAATAGTGAAAATCCTCCCACCCCTCTGGTGCCTTAAATAAAGTGACTGAGAGACAAGTAATATGTAATATATATAAAAATCATGATATGGGATTTAAAACCTTTGCTTGCTTTACAAACTCAATTCTTGAATAAATTAACTGAACAAATGCCATCGTGTAACTGAATATTGATGCATGCAGACAGTGTAAGAGAGCGTTATCAAAGAGTGTAATGTTATGTTTGAGCTGTTGTGGTGACAGTGG